TGTAAATTTGTTAACAATGACAAGTGCCACATAGGAGAGTTTCACGGTAATTTGAATGCCTATAATAGGACTAGTCTTAACTGAGATTTGAAGAATGATGTGATAGATTAAAGATGGACACATATTCTTTGTTACTCCTCCCATGAAGAGGTGAAGTCTAATCTCTCCTTAAACCTGGGCTGGCCTTAGAGACTTCTCTAATAGAATACAGCAGAAAGGATGTTTCATAAAAAGCCTTGCAGCTTCTGTTTTTCTTGGAAGACTCCATCATGGAAGATGTCCCACTACCCTAAGACCACCATGCCAAAGAGTCCATGCATTGATGTTTGGGTCAACAGTGCCAGCCGAATCCTGCCTTCCAGCCATCTCTGCCATGCCACAAGACATATGAATAAAATCTTGGATTCTCTAGGGGTGCCTGGGTGGCTCAGTCAGTTAAGTGTCCAACTCTTGATTTTGACTCAGGTCATGATCTCACAGTTCATGAGATTGGGTCCCACATTGGGCTCTTTGCTGACAGTGTGGAACCTGCTTGGGATTCTCTCTCTCACTCTCTCTGCCCTTCCCCTGCTCATGCTTTCTCTCTACCTCTCAAGATAAATAAATAAACTTAAAAAACTCTTGGAAGCTCTAGATCAGAGGTTAGCAAACATAGCCTGCAGACCTAATCTGGCCACCATCTATTTTTATAAATAAAGTTTTATTGGAATGCAGCTATACCCATTTGTTTAATTATTGTCTATGGTTGTTTTTTCATTACAGTGGTAGAGATGAGTAGTGGACTGTCAGGCCTGCAAAGCTGAAAATATTTTCTATCGGCCTTTTGTAGAAAAAAATGGTGACCCTTGCTCTAGATTAGCACCATCCACTAGAAATTTAATGCAACCACATACGTAATTTGAAAATTTCCAATAGCCATATTAAAAAATTAAAGAGAAAAAAATAAAAAAAATAAAAAATTAAAGAGAAATAGGTAAAAATTAATTTTAATGATATGTTTTCTTTAATTCAGTATATCTAAAATATTATAATCTCAACATATAATCAATATAAAATTATTAATGGATATTTTACATTCTTTTTTCTGTACAAAATCTTGTAGGTGTTTTACACTTACAGAACTTAGAAGAACTACATTTCAAGTGATCAGTAGCCACATGTGGCTAGTGCCTACTGAATTGGACAGGGAAGTTCTATACTAGCCCATTCACTAACTTAGTACCAACCACCAAGTGACTTCAGTTGATGCCATGAGGAACAGAAAAATCACTCAAAACCCTGCCCAAATTTCTGGCCCACAACATTGTAAGACAGAGTAAAATATTCATTGTTTTAAGCTGCCGAGTTTAGGGGCAGTTTTTTAGGTAAACATAACAGATTGAAAAGTGCCAGATAGGTGAAGGGGGTAGCTTGGAAGGATTCTAGGCAAAAGGAACAGCAGGTGCAAAGGCACCACGGCAAGAAGGACATGAGGGAAGGTTGATGTGGCTTAAATGACTAGAGGGGTGGAAGACAAGCCTGGAGAGGTCAGTGGAGGCCAGACCATGCTTATCTTAAGGGTCAGCAAAGGATTTTGGTGTTTATTCTAAGTGCAATGTGAATCACTGAAGAAATTAAAGTGGAAGAGTGACATAATCAGGTTTGTAGTTTGAAAAGATGACTTTGGCTACTGTGTAGCAAGTGGATAGTAGGGAAGTCAGAACAGATGCCAGAAGACCAATCCATTGACTATTGCAGTCATTTAAATGAAGAAGATGGTTGTTTGGTCTAGGGTGGTAGTAGCAGAAGTAGCAGTGGATAGGTTCAAGTGATATTTAGGATTATAATTGACAGGATGTGGTGATGGATTAAGTATGGGAGATGAGAATAAGGTATTAATTGATTCGTTTATTTATTCATTCATTCAACTGAGTGTCAGGAATCACTCTTATTTAGTAGACTAATACAGTGGATGCTACAGAGTTTTTTTACTTTTTCACTTGCACAAATAATGGGAAGTTCATTTCTTTAAGTAGAGTAGGATAGCTTAATGCAGTCTGGTATGTCAGATGAGTTTATATTTGATGTGATAGAAAATTGAGAGTTTGGGATTGATGGTCTGGAAGCAGAAAAATTATGTAATGAAAGTTTAAAGGAAATGAGCCTGTCAGTGGTCTGAGGAAGGGGTGAGGGCTGGTATCAAGGAAGCCAATATTAAACTCTCAAAGACCTCAGATGAAGAGGCTGAACCAGCATACGGACAAGAAAGAGAAGAGCATGAGTGACACCTTGATGAAAACGTGAACACTTCCTGGTGTCTGGTGGGCATAGATGACTGGCTATAGATGTGTGTCACCCATCTTGAGCTTTGCTAATTTCCCATGCCAAACATGTCTCTTTCTAGCTCACGCTGGATCATATGTCTGACTTGGTCTCCAATCTCTTCTTGGAGCAAATCCTCCTGGACTCCCATTTGTGAAGATTTTTCATACCTAACACTGCCTTAATTTGATTAGGTGTCCTTTCCCATACTCATTTGTGAGCACAATGTTTCCACACAGATATGAGGGGAACAGCATCAAAGATGAATAGGTACAAAGAAAAAATATCTATGTAGATTCATATGGGGGAGAAGGCTGCTTTTATTCATTCCCTGATATTGTAGGTAACTAAAGTATTAAAATTAAGAGTCCATTCCCCTCACTCCCGGAAGAAGGAACGTACATAGCATGGTTAGCTTTCCAGTCTCCTTATAGCAAGTTTGTGTACAAGACAGATGCCCCCAAATCAGATATTTTTGAGTCAAGGAGCATCTCTTTTCCAAATTATTAATGGTTTTGGAAACCATTTTTTCCTTTTTTGCCAAAAGGTGCCTGTGGGTAAGCATCATGCAAAGTTTTACAGGTGAGTCTGTGCACATCTGGTCAAGGGCTCTGCCTACCACAAATAAGAACCCAGAACTCACTAAAAGGCATTTATGCCAATCATGGCCCCTTAAGAGGGCCCCTTCCTGTTGTCTCAGAACCAGAACCATGGTCAAAGAGAGAAAGCCAATGTATCAAGGGCACAATTTGAGGGACGTCCCCTCTCCCCATTCTGTGTACCAGCCCTACCCTGGTGCTTGGAATTCCCAAATTACTCATTCCTTGGGTTTAGGCATTTTTGAAAGCCCCTATTAAAATGCAAATGCTAGCTAGAAGGGAGAAATGTTTTGTTTTTAGCCATTAAGAGTTAAGTTCAAGTTAATGCAGCTAAATAGGAAATGGAACTCAGAAAGAAATCATACTCCTAAAAAGAGGGAGAATAGTGCATGGGAACTTTCCTACCCTGATGGGGAGATGGAAAGTGCCGAAGACATATTTTTCTTCTACATATATTCAAAATGGTGTGTATTTCCCAACCTCAGCCTGAGTATACTCTGATGTATGGTTTAGAAACTAGTCTCTATATTAGGTTAGAGATGAGGATAAAGGTTCAATAAAGGATTGTGCATCTAGCCTATGGCCCTATCCTTCTGTACTGCCCCCCTAAACCACTCTTATTTGCCTGACCATGAAAGGTAAATTGTCAACCCTTGCCTGGACACTGGATAACCACTCAGGAACCTTCCTACTCCTTGCTTGTTTCAGACATGTTGGGTTCTTACTCTATTTCTTCACAGCTTCAGTCTCCTGGGAGAGGGCCCCCCCCCAAACTTATTTCTCACCTTTTTGAAACATGGTATTTGAACCTTGATTTTCTCCTGAAGAATCTGGCTTAGCTCACTTTTTTACCTTTTATGCTCTTTCTTCTCCCACCTTAGCTTCAACTCCATAAAATCCAATTCTCATTACCACCAGGAAGAGATATCTGATATCCAGGGCCATTAGAGCAACCAAAGTATCAAGCTCAAAGACAGTCATTAAACAGTGGGTACAATCACAAAAAGCCATTTCCTTCTCTTCAAAGCAGTGTTGCTATACGGTCATTTTAGTGTGACTATTAATACTATTTTCCCACTAAGCTAAAAGCTTCAAGAGTACAAGGACCATGACTTTTATGCTCTCTGTTAAAACCCAGGACACAGTTAATCACTCAGATACATTTAGAACATGCTAATGAACAGAGATTTATAAAAAGCTTCCATTATACACAGGATAGCTCATGTAAATAGTATCAATGGTACCTGCAACAGCAAACAGATGAAATAATATAGAACTGTGAGCTTGTGCACATAATTAGACTCATTTAAGTCCACAGCCTTAGTCCCAAGATTGAGGTTGCATGCCAGAGGAATAGATCATCTCCCTAGTTATTACAATTTGAGAGGAGTGGGAAGTTCCCTTGGCCAAAAATTATTTTCACCTGTCTCTCCTTAAATAACTATTAGTGGAGGCACTATTTTAAGCCTATTTGCAAATGCAAATACGTTCATGGTATACAGAACACGAGAAACCACTGCATGGGCTCTTTTTGGACCTAAGACTTTCTTTTCAAATGAGCTATTGGTCTCTGGTGCCAAGAGGAGCCAATATTGTGGGGGGCATTTAGATGGGAAGAAGAAATGGAGACAAAGAGACGGGAAGAGAAAAGCCAAATAAGAAAGCAGAGACCACTGGAGAAGCTGTGGGTTTTGCCCCAGTTCTCTGAACTTCTCACTGGCACAAGGGGCTCAGGCAGGGCCAGCATCCTTGGATACCTTCTCCTGCAGTGGAGACCCTTGGAGCCCCCAGCACCCTGAGGCCAAGGGCAGCTGTTGGTTGTTTGGTAAGTGGTGCCTTCTGTTTCCTGCCTGTCCTGTCTCTTAGCTCACGAAAGCAGACACAGGATCTGGATGGAAGAGACACATTTCTATAATGTCCTACCTCCAATGTAGCCAGTCTCAGAATCAAGCCTGATGGTCAAAAGTTTTATGCATGTATTCCACAACCCTTCTTACCCACTCCCTTGCCAGCCATCAGCCCAACCTCTGAACATCTGCCCCAGATGTAGCTTTATCAGACACCAAGCTCCCAAAGCATACAAGCTTCATAAGAACATACCTGTCACAAATGCCCATCCACTGCAGCTCCCAGAGACCAGATGTATAAGCTCAGTGACATTCCCGAGGAACACAGAAACAAGGTGTTAAGAATAAACGATGAGGAGCCTTTGTGAGCTCCCCATAACTTCCTAACACTCTTTGTAGAGAAAGAAATAATGTCAGGGCTGAGACTAGAACTCAAATGCAGAAAGGGGAACTGACAAGAAAGAAATAGCACCACAGACAGGGGCTGGTTCCAGATAACTTCTGATGGCAGGTGGGCATTTCCACCGATGAAAATGACTACAAATGCACTGGTGGAGAGTGAGTGAATGTAAAGCCCTGAGGAAACTCCCCAAAGACAGTCCAGCCACAAACATGACAAAGACTAACAGAGATCCAGGAGTGTAGCCTTTGAGTCCCATAGGTGAAGGTTCAGCTCAGTTTAACAAGTGTTTTATGCAGCAGCCATGTACCAGGTACTGTTTCCGGCTTGGCAGGGCTGCAGGAGGCAGTCTGCAACCACAGAGCCCAGAGACTGGGTATTTTTCTTCTCACCCCACCCCCCTACAAACCATTCATTTGAGTATATCTCCATGGATCCTGCTAGAAGCCAATTAACATACACAGCTTGTTTTTAAATTATCCTCATCTAATCCTAATTATCCTAATGTAGAAAATTTGGCCCCTATTCCTGGAAGTGGGTGGTACTCGAGTCTGGGGACAGGTCACCAGCAGAAGAGTGATAGGTGTGTGAATGCCAAGTGGATTTTTCCAAACCTAGTGCTTCGAGAGGGACAGGCTTCACACATATAATCCTGATCCAAATGTATGGCTTCTTTTCCTGATCCAATCAGGCCCTGAAAAGCCCTCTGCTCAGTGGGGAGGGGGGCGGGCAGGCGTTTATATGCCTCTGAGCCTGCAGCATTTGCATTCGGGAGAGAAACAGCTCCCTGTGAACCTGCCTCCTCTGATCTCTTGGTGGCTAGCTGGGCCCTGCAGGACTAGAGAAATTAAAAGTAGCAAAGGGAGAGCTGTTTGTTGTCTGGGTTGAGAAGAGCGCCCAAGCAAGGACATGTGGTGCAGGGGAAGTAGCATAGCACAGGTTTGGAACTGGTAGTCCAAGGTCAAACCCTGGCTTGACCACCGAGCCCTGGACAAGTTATTGAACATCTCCTCATTTTAGTCTTCTCATCCAGGAAATGTGACCAGCATCCTTGATGCACTGTTCTGAAAAACAAGTGGGATCTTGCATGTACATCACCTGGCACAGAGCATGGTATGCAGCTATTTAGTCTTCGTTATTACTTTTCTGTCTTCCTGACAGACTTTACAGTTCTGACTTTGACCTTTGCACAAAGTTGATCCTTAATCACTGGAAAGGTGATGATCATTCTTCCCAAAACAGGTCTGTAAACTCCTCACCTTCCATCCAGGGTCTCTCAAACCCAGAGGGCTCTTATGTGGGTCCTGGGCCCTGACTCATAGGGTCTTCACTTCCTCTCAGCGATTCTCTGTGCATACCTTGGAAACTTCATCCTTTACTCGGATAGGCACCACCTGGGGTTTTCCTCTGGATTTTACAATCATATATTTTTTTTTATTTGAAAGCGTCCATTTAGTTTCCTTATTGTAACACATGAAATTACCCATGTATCAGAGCACAGGAGAATTAATTTACATACCACTCCGTTTTCAAGTTTCCTTCTCTTCCTTATACTCAGCAGTCAAAATATCAGATAGGCTAAATTGGGAAGTCTTGCTATCAAAATATTTAGAATAGTATTTCCCAAACTTCAGTCATTCTAGCTACTAGTACCACTTCATATCCATGTAAAAATCTGTATTATTTTTTATGCATTCATTTTAATCTTGACTTATTTTAAAAGGAATCTTTATATAAATACTAAAAATTTTAAAGAGCAGTATTATTTACCAAAAATAAAGGGTGAGTTCAAACTCTGTGTTTGTTCAAACCTGTTGTTCAAACTCTGGCCTACTAGTTAATACCTGTGTGTTCTTGAGGAAGTCACTTAATTACTGAGCCTTAGTTTCCTCACAGAGGTAATATTAAATGTCTCATAAGCTTGTTGTGAGGATTAAATAGGAAGACATGTATATGGTGCCTCACACAGATCCTGGCATACGGTAGGTTATTTAAAAAAAAAAGTTTTATTGTTTTCTCTTTTCCATATCCCTTCTCTCATGTCCTTATTTCAGGTCCTGATTAGAGTAGTATCCAATGCACAGTAACAGAAGTAATGGAAGATAAGTAGTGAGGCAGGCAGCAGAAATAAAGGACAATTCGGTGTCACGGAATTCTTTAATTCTATGAACTAATTAGCATTGCAAGGTTGTTTCAGGGACCTCAAAAGTCATTTTAGTCTCTCACTGAAGCAAGGACTCCCCTCAGTGTTATCTGTAATAGATGGATGTCCAGTCTTTGCTTTCTTACTTATGTTGGAAAACTCACTACCTGATATGACAGCTATGAGAGAAAGGTCTTCTTTATAATAATCCCAAATCTCCCACCACTCACTCCCCAATCCCATAAGTGTCCCTGTCCTGTTTTCTTTTTTTTTTAATTTTTTTTTCAACGTTTTTTATTAATTTTTGGGACAGAGAGACACAGAGCATGAACGGGGGAGGGGCAGAGAGAGAGGGAGACACAGAATTGGAAACAGGCTCCAGGCTTCGAGCCATCAGCCCAGAGCCTGACGCGGGGCTCGAACTCACGGACCGCAAGATCGTGACCTGGCTGAAGTCGGATGCTTAACCGACTGCGCCACCCAGGCGCCCCCCCCGTCCTGTTTTCTAAAACTGCCAGGATATGTATTTTTACCCCTTCACATGGAACCCTCCAAACAATTGAAAACAGATATATCATAAGTTTCCTCAGTAGTCTTTTCTCTCAGCTACATATTATCAGTGTCCTCAACTGTTCCTCATATAATGTGGTCTCTAGAACCCTAACCAGCTTGGTGGTTCTCCCACTGGCACCTGTCTCCCTGAATGTGTCAACATACCTCTTTGCAGAAAGGGCTTACAGAATGAAATGGATAGTTACAAGATCACTTTCACTAATGAGTCAGAGATCAAATTAGTCTGTACACAGTTGTAGTGGAGTGGCTGACCATGTTTTTTTTTTTCAAATGTCATGTCATATCACCACCTCTTGGCCCCATCTTATTTGTACGTCAGTGTTCAGCCAATCAAAATTACTCTGAATCCTCTTTATGTCTTTCATTGTACTAGTCACCCTTCCAATCCTGTGCCACTCAAAAATCTGATAAGGAGGCCTACCCAAGAGTCATCAGAGCCAAGCATGCACGGGGTTCAGCAGTGATGGTGGTCAACAGTATTAAATGCTGAGATGAGGTTAAACAAAATGAAGAAAATCAGTTCCTTGTGTTTAGTGAAGAGGAAGTTACCAGTAACCTCAGAAAGTTGCTTTCTGTGTGGGGCTGCTTCCTCCATGCCTCACTCCCAGATGTTCTCATGTCTGAGGAGGCCAAGGCTACAAGAAAAAGCAGCAGGAGGGGAGTGGCTATAGATGGTAGCTGGGTTGGGGGAAGAGATATTCCCCTGGGACCACATGGTTAGGATTTACTCTGAGGGTGGAGGGGCAAAGCTAGAAACTTGTGGGCATTTGGAAAGATCCAAACACTTAGCTGAATTTTCCAATTCCAGCTATATATTTGTTTGCTATACATAAACGGCTTCCCATGGCCACCAGTCAAGAAGCACTCTAAAAATATTCTAGGTGGTGGTGGTTCTAATATAGGACAAAATAATTTCCACAAATAATTATAGAGGCATTACTTATCGAAATGTTAATTAGCATTTGTTTTCTGAGATTTCTTGACACATAGATTTTTGCAGGGGAGAAAGCAGAAGTGACTTAAAGTCAAAGGCACTTTTGGACTTTTGTGAAAGCTCATGGAAGAGATAATATAGATGTCCTAAAAGGGAAGAGAAAAGAGAGTGCTTCTGAGATGCAAGAGGAAGGAAGGGCAGAGTTGTTTGGGTCCTGTGAGCAGAGGGATCAAACAAAGCACTCCCTCTCAGTGCTCCCAAGGGGATAACAGCTTTGGGAGTGATGGCTCATGCCTACAGAGGCAGTGCACTTGGTTCATGGGCCTCAGGAGATAACCTCATTTCCCACTGTGGCATAGGGGTGGAGAGCTGCCAGACTTCACGGACCACTGTGGTTTAGACAGTGAGGTTGCCAATAGCAACCAAAACGGTCTTGGGATTTGAGGCCCTTCCTCCTTCTAGGCACTAGGTAAGCTTCCTGAATTATGACTGGGCTGTAAGAAGGAAAGGGCATCCCTGTATGATCAAGATGGAATCCCCTATCCAACTGGTAGAATAGGTTTCACAGGTGAGATTAGGTTGAATTAAAGGAAACATGGGAAGTGGCCATCTCTTACATACTTGGATTCATGGACAGAAATTCATACCCTATTCATAGTTCCTAAGTTATTTTTAATTTAGAACTGACGCAGCACAGGGTGGTCCTGTTCTTATTCCCAGCCCTGCTGCACAACCTCTCAGAGTGCAGGAAGCCACAACCACTGTCCCCAGAACCTGACTTTTCCCTTTTAATGAAACTCTTCTGGGTCCACAAACAGGGTTCTCTGATACTGCTTGAGGGAGAACATAAAACATTTGCTATGAATTTTTTATTTTACTGCTGTTATAAAATTGTATTTCAATGTACCCTTCATCCTTAAAACATAAACACACTAACTGCTGAGAGGATGAAAAGAGAAGCCACAGACTGTAAGAAAATATTTGCAAAACACATGACTGATAAAGGACTGATACCCAAAACGTACAAAGAACCCTTAAAACTCAAGAAAACAAACAATTGAGTCTAAAAATGGGCAAAAGATCTGATCATACACCATACCAAAGAAGATACACAGATGGTACAGATATACATATTAAAAGATGCTCAGTATCATATGTCATTAGGGAATTGCTAATCAAAACCATAATGAGCTACTACTCAATACCTATTAGAATGGCTAAAAAAAAACCCCAAAAAACAAAAAAACAAAACTGACAATACCAAATGCTGACAGAGATGTGGAACAATGGCAACTCTCACTCATTGCTGGTGGGAATGGAAAATGATGTAGGGACTCTGGAACTCATTTTGGCAGGTTGTTATAGCACTTAACATAAGCCTACCAGGTGAACCATCAATAATGCTCCTAGGTATTTACCCAAATGAGTTTAAAACTTATGTCCACACAAAAACC